AAAATCTTTAAAAAAAAAAAAAAAAGTTAGAATTACATAAAATGAAAAGTGAAAAAAAAAAAAAACCTAAAACTCAACCCTAATCCTTCCTTCTATCCCATTCCTCTTCTTAAAAGAATTGTTAAAAACAAAAAAAAGGGGTGTTTGTCCTTACATACCCTTTTTAATGCATTTAGCAGCATATCACAATATATGCAAATATATATTTTTCATAAACATTATTGTATTAGTGTATGCAAGTTACATTATTCACCTAATATGTCCGAGGATCTTAACAAGTTAGTGCACATAAGTTTATCTTATTCTTTTGAACTGCTCTATAATTTTCCAGTTTATGGGTGAAACATAAATTAATTAGCCATAATCCTATTGATAGATCTATGGGTTGTTTAGAGTCTTTTGTTATTATAAACAGTGCTAAGTGAATGAAATGTCTTTAATTCAGAGCACAAGACCTATATCTGTGAGATAACTTTTTAGAAGTGGATTTATTAGGCCAAAGGATGTCCCCTTTTAAATTTCTAGAGCTATTGATAAGTTAATATCTGTAGAAGCTGTATCATTTACCCCCTCATAGGTATTGTACGAGGTTCTGGTTTGCCACAGCCTATTCCTGAATGTCAGGAAAGCGTTTGATTTGTACCGTTGATATCTTATTTTAGTTTTATTTTTAATTTATTGCTCAGAATCATCATATTTTCTCTTTGGGTGAACTGTCTTATATCTTTTCCCGGTTTTCCTTTTGGACTGTTGGGATTTTCTTCTTGATTTAGAGGAACCATTCATATATGAAAGAAATGATCACTTTTTCTGGTGTGTTGAGTCCCCCCCGCCCCTCGCCATTTTGCTGGTTGCCATGGCTTATGTTTGTAGTTGAATTAACTAATGCTTTTCTTTTATGACTTCCGGATTTAGTGTCACAATAGACAGACTTTTCTCTTTGTATGATTATAATTATCTACTTTTTTTAACATTTAAATATTGATCCATCTGGAATTTATTTTAGTGTAATGTAAGAGGTTAAGAATCAATGACATTGAGTGCTTGCTGTCAACCAAAAATTGTGCTACTTTTCCATAATATAGAATTGCAATGAAACATGGCTGCCCAATCAAGGACTACATTTTCGAGTCCCTTTGACTTCCATGTGTGGCCATGTGACCAGTAATCAACTACAGAATGTAAGCAGAAGTGAGGTGTGTCACCTACAGGCCAAGACCTTTAAGAAGTTCTCTGTCCCATCCGCCATCTAGACACAGGCAACAGGAGCCCATTTGAATTGCGGCACCATAAGTTGGCAGGAACTTGGGTCCCTGAATCACCATGGACAAGATAGCTACTCAGTGACCAGGAACATCCACAGTGACTGAGAAATATACTTCCGTTGTGATAAGCCACTAAAATGTTGGGACTTATTTGTTAAAGTGGCTAATATGGCTTGACCAATGAAGAGTCCCATGAAGAGATAGCTGTCCCTAACCACTCATGTCTGAGCACACTTCATTTTATTCAGTGAGCACTCTGCCCACTGCCAATGAAAGAGAAGTGTTAGTTACATAGCATTTGTAAAGCATCTGGAAGGAAGGTGGTTTATCAGCGGGTGACTTTCAGAGTTAACCACATGTTAAAGTGGGAATTCTATTCAGTGCACCTGTGTCATCCACATCACTAGGCCAGACATGGCAGAATCTGAAAGTAAAAAGCAGAAGTATATCAAACCAAACCAGGCTTATTTTAATTCAACTATTAATAACACTACTCCATTTAAAATGAGGCATCCAGGACAAATTTAAATTAGGTGGTATACCAGGACAACAGCAGAAAACCAGTTTGGGCTGCTGGAGACAGAGTTAACAATTGCATAGGAAACTTATCAATGACCTATACTAAGCAAAGTAGGCTCATTTGTAAATATGAATGGATAACCAAAGATTACATCTGAGAACTACATGAATAAGAAGCAAGATGAGCTAATAAAATACCTAAAGGAAGTGAACAAGAAATATTTGGTGATTAAGCTGAGGTTGAATTAAAAAATATTCAAGCATTACAGTATGCGCTCTTAGCTGTCCAACATCAGCGAGATTTTACAAATTCTTGATTCTTTGAAGAACTACTTTGAAAATCAATCTAGTGCCCTACAATGGTATTGAACTAGTTTGTGAATGAGTCCTCTATTAATTTTCATTGCAATTTGTTCAAAATCAGTCGTGAATCTTTAAAGTGTTCAGTGAAGGGAACACCACAGAAACTTGTTTTTTTTTTGTTTTTTAGAGGTATTCTATTTTTTTCCCCCTGAGGAAGATTGACCCTGAGCTAACATCTGTTGCCAATCTTCCTCCTTTTTTTCCTTTTTTCTCCCCAAAGCCCCAGTAGATAGTTGTATGTCATAGTTGTATATCCTTCTAGTTGCTCTATGGGGGATGCCATCTCAGCATGGCTTGATGAGTGGTCCACATCCAGGATCTGAACCAGTGAACCCTGGGCCGCCAAAGTGGAGCATACGGACTTAACTGCTGTGCCAATGGGTGGGCCCCCGAAACTGAAAGTTTTGAAGCTTTTAGAGAATTGGACTTACTGAAAAAAATGTGTATAAATAGGAAGCCGTTGAATTTGTCCCTAAAAAGTGAGGGAGGAAGTGAATAAATCAAACAAGGAGAACTCAGTGTGCTTGATTTAATTTTGAAATTTTATAGTTGTGCTTTTTAATTTCTTAACTTGTGAGAAGAATTTTTTGATGAGCTTTCATTTTGGGGATAAATTTACATTCTGTGGTGAATGGAATGAAATAGAAAAGGCCTACTATTCTGTAACATCTTCATTTGGCTTGGCAAAATAATTAAGAGAATCAGAAATATAGATGACTTATTTGATAAGTTTTGTGTTATAAAATATTTAAGATTGATACTCTGAATGAAGTAAAAAAGACAGTACCAATGTGTGATGGTTAATTGGAGGTATCAATTTGTCTAAGTTATAGTACCCAGTCACTTAATCAAACATTCATCTAGGTGTTGCTGTGAAGGTGTTTTGTAAATGTGGTTAATGTCTACAATCACTTGATTTTGAGCAAAAGGTTACCTTTTTTAATGTGGGTGGGCCTCATCCAATCAGTTGAAAGACTTTAAGAGCAAAAACAAGGTTTCTCAGAAAAAGAAGAAATTCTGCCTCAAGACTGCAGCATCAACTCCTGCCTGAGAGTTTCCAGCCTGCTGGCCTTTCATATGGATTTCGTTGTTGTCAGCCCCCACAATTGCATAAGCTAATTCCTTGAAATATGTCTTTAAAATACAGATATATGGGTACTTAAGATACATCTATATATCTGTGTGTGTATCTCTTTCTCTTTCTCTCTCTCTATATAAAATATATGTATCAAGATCTCTTTA